AAAGAAAAAGGAAAAAACAACAACTAAAGAAATCCTCCTTGGCTTGTTTTTCCTGGGTGGCCAGGCAAGGTGTGAAAATCCGTATCTCCCTCGGGGCTGGCAGGTGGAAGGTTCTGGGAAGGCTGAGCTCCCTCCTCTCCCACCCGGCTGCACGTCCAGGCTGTTCCTCCCACCCTCTGCCTCCTCCGAGGCCAGCTCCTCGGCCTCTCTGCAGTCAGGCCTCCCCTGCCGTCAGGGGCCAAGGCGGCAGGAAAGGCGCCGCTACCTGCAGCCGCAGGACTCCACCACCATGTCCTCGTACTGCTTGTAGACCACGTTATTGCCCGCGTCGATGTACAGGATGCTGATGGGAGTCAATTTGGTGGGCACACAGCAGCTGGGCGGGGTGGAGCCGGGATCCATGGAGTTCATCAACGTCTGGATGATGGCGTGGTTGGTGGGCTCCAGGTGCGAGCGCAGCGGGAAGTCGCACACGCCTTCGCAGTGGTAGGCCTCGTACTCCAGGGGCGCGATAATCCAGTCGTCCCAGCCCAGCTCCTTGAAGTTCACGTGCAGGGGCTTCTTGCTGCAGCGCAGCCTCGACTTCTTGCCGTGCCGCTTACCGTGGCGGCTGGCGAAGCGCCGCCGCCGCCGCCGCCGGCCGGGGGAGCTCCGGGAGCAGGCGCGGGGCGGGGCCTGTCGGGCCGGATCTTGACGTGCGTCCAAGGCCGGGTGATTATTGGGGTCTGCCAGCGCCGCGGCTGCCCAGTCCTCTCAGTGTGGTGCTGCCCGGCGGCAAGGGGGTGGTGGAATGAAGCACGGTCAAGACGGAAAACAAAGTCAGCAGGTCACCTGGCAGGTTCTGAGCGCCTTATGCAACGAAAGCCGGGGAATGTGTGATGCGTTCCGGGCCCTTACTCCCTTCCCCTCTTTTTTCTTAAGCTCCTAGGAAGCCGGTTCCAGTTTAAAGGTTGGGTAGGGATCGACCCAGCAGCTCTTCTAATGTGGTTACGACTTTGCTGAACTCCTCAAGACCGATTCTCCCTCGCCATCTTTCTTCAAGTAAAGGGAACATTTCTCTGGGAAAGAGAAACTGGGGGGGCGCGGGGTGGCAGGCTTGATCCAAAAGCGATGCCAAGTATCAGTCTACAACTTCCATAAAGTACTCCCAAAAATATAACACTGAACCCTAAATTAAATCATCCCCACACACATTCAACCCCTTATGTCCCCGGGCCTCAGGACTGTGCCTTCAAACAGAATTTAAAGAGTTAAAGCTGGCCGTAGCTCGTTTTTCATGCTAGCATTTGTGGCATTAGGACTATTTTGTTAACTAGGTATATGCAATTCACAGAATTTCACGGTAAATTCCCCAGACCAAATATTTGGCTGAACAAATAAACAACATTATCCATTCCTGAAAATAAGCCAGTAGAAGGAGGGGGAGGTTGGGGGGCAGGGTGGTTGCTAGAAAGTGACCTGAGCCCAGCAACCACCAGGCTCCGCATTCGCCCTCTGATAGTTTGTCCCAGCGCCAGAGATCTGCGTGCGGGTTCCTTTCCAATAATACGGACATTTCAGAAAGTTGCTGGAAATCGGGCAAAACAAATCAAGGCCGCCTGAGGGGAACCCATAATGGGCTTCCCCTAAATGATTTATTCGACCTCCATACCATTAATCAAAGGGGCAGCGACCTGGGGGGCTTGAAGAGGGGAGCAGTATCCCTCTCGCGGGGAGTTTGGAGGAACTGTGGAGTCTTGCTGCCTTTGCCTGGGGCTCTGATCTCCTCTCTCCACCTGCGCTCTCCGGGGAGCTGGGGCTTTGGCAACCGCTCTGCTTCTATTTTTATTGGTTTCCACTAAGCTGCTCCTTTTGGAAGATTGTAGGACTTTAGTAATTAAAAACAAAAATGAATCCTGCCTCACCCGAACCCCCCAAGAGCACATGGAAGAGTTGTGTACATGAATGCAGGGGGTGCACACACACCCCCCCCCCCACCACTACCACTGGTACCTTCCACCTTCATGAGGGAGAAACGCACTCCTGTCAGCCCACCTCACACAGACTATACAAAGACACAGCTTTTGCCCCCAAACCTACCCAAACCTATGCAGGAAAAAGTACACACATAAGAAATGAACCTAAGCAGGCCAAAATGCCAAGGCTTAATTTAGTTGCTCGTGGCAAGTAAGAAAAAGCAAAGGTCTCTTCCTCTGGTCCTCTTAGCTTTTACATACATGTCATTCCAGAGAGCCAGTTCTCTGCCTTAATGGCAAGTCCCTAACTGAGGGATACTCAACATAGTAGCATTTTCCTTCTTGGCCAGAAATTGGGCTTTTTCCTGGAAGAAACCCTGGCTTAGAGTAGGGCATCCACTAGGTATCTCACTTTCTGCCCAGCTCTAGAGAAGGGGAGCTGGCATTTGACTTGAGATTGCATAAAGGACACAATGTTTTCACAGTGCCTCCTTAGAAATTTTGACCCTTCAGTTTCTGATCCCATTGCCATCCAGCCCAAACTGTTAGAATTTCGAACTCCATGAAGGCCTTCATGTGGGGAATAGGAGACAAGGGGATAAAGTCAAGAAACACTGGAGAATTCCACCATGTGGCATATTAAAATATGGTCACCAAACTTTTCAAAGGTAAGGCACATTATTTATTCTATTGAATAAAACCCACTTCACCACCACCCCCAAATCCTGTACACACACACACAAACACACAAACATGTGCAAATTAGTTTTGGTTTGAAAATACAACATTGGTGCCTATCATGACTGGAGACATCCTAGGGTATCATAAAAGCTGTGATGGGAGTTATTCCCTAGAGTTGAGACTCTATCCATCACCCTCAGCTGAGACGCACCTCTAACAGGTGAGCAAAAACAAAAGATGTACAAGGAGCCCAAAACTGAGTCTTTAATCTGGCCTACTCCTTTCATCCCACTGTTTCTCCAAGGCATATGTCATCCAGATGGGAGAGGATACTGTGTCCTTGTTAACATTAAATAGAAATGGAAAACAATTCATCCTGGCAATTACCATCTCTCTACCATCAGTTTACTTCCTGTCCCTCCAACTTAACCACCTCCAGTTACCACCCTCTGACTTCCATCCTGCCCCCAACCCCTCAACAGGAAAAAAATCTCATTCAAAAGAGATGGGGGCAGAAGGAAAAAGGATTAAAGAGAAAAGGAACAGTGTACCTTTAAAATAATGACTCATTTTATTTTTTCTTTTAATATGTAGTTATAAATATATTTTGTCAAAATATATGATCAATATGGTCAAAACATTTGCACGTAAAGTCATAAATAAGGTCAAGGTGAATGTTTAGGTTTTTTTTCCTTTTTTTTTTTTTAAAGATAAAAGTCCAGCTATAAGGAAGCAGTCTGTGTAGTGTGTGGATGAGTGGACGGGAACGTGTATGTCCCCAAGGACTGCCTGATCTCAGCGACACCCACATCCCTCTACTACCATCTCCTGATAATTTTTCAGTACCACCTTGTCATACTCATCCAGGTACAGCATGGAGATGGCACTCAGTTCGGTGGGAACACAACAGGCTTTGGGGATACTGGAGTTGACAGAGTTGACCAGGGTCTGCACGATGGCATGGTTGGTTGAGTTGAGGTGGTCGGCCAGTGGAAAGGGGCAGTCCCCGTGGCAGTAGAAGGCCTGGTAGCCTGGTGGGGCCACAATCCAGTCATTCCAGCCTACATCGCTGAAGTCCACATAAAGTGAGTGGCGCCGGCAGTTCTTATTCTTCTTCCGGGCCCGCTGTGGGTGATGCTTGGGGCTCCGCTTGGCCCTCTGGCGTCGGGTCAAGGCATGTCCACGGCCATCATGGCCAAAAGTGACCAGGAGGGGCCGGAGCTGGGCCCAATCCCCACTCCCTTGAGGTAACGATCGGCTAATCCTGACATGCTGGCCCTGGTGGGTCCGTGTCTGATGGAGGTGAGTCACCTCAATGGCCAGCCCGTAGTTCGGCTGCTTCTCCCGGGTCCAACGAAGGACCGCAGGGCTCACATCAAAAGTTTCCCACCGTGTCACATTGTGGTGGACCAGTCTCGTGTCCAGTAGTCGTGTGATGAGGTGCCCAGGCGCCACTTCTGCCGGGGGCTTCATAACCTCATAAATGTTTATTCGGTGGAAGCCCTGCTCCCAGTCAGGGCCCTGGTTCACCTGCTCCCGGAAGAGTCGAAGCTCTGCAGAGGAGATCACCTCGTTCTCTGGGATGCTGCTGAGGTTAAAGAGGAAACGAAAAGCAGAGTTTTCGCTGGTCCCTGGGATGTTCTCCAAATGTTCTAGGCACAGTCGAGGAGGAAAAGGAAAAAGGAAAAGAAAAAAAAAATAAAAGCACATTAACTTTTTTGAGAAATCGTAAAGTCAAGAAATAGCTTCAGTCAAGAAGCTTTGGGTGATGAGTGCTGAATTTTGCTTACATAGTGGAAGCCTATTTGGGGAAATAAGCATATCTTTTAATTTGAAGGAGCAGATAAATGGGCTGCTAGCAAGCCAGCAAAACTTAGCTAGCATTCAGCAAGCACCAAAGACAGAAAGTATCTCCCAACCTCCTTTATATGTCTAATAATTTCCATGTGTCAACTCCTTACTCCACCACCATCAGACTCCCCTTTTAAAGCTCTCTTGGCTTTGTGTACACAGTTTTCTTTAAAAGTGGTTATAAAGAAAAAGGGGGGCCAACAAAGCAGAGGCAGGAGGAAACATGCACAAAACTACCCTCTCCTTCTTCTTCAACTTTCGAGTATGTTACTAAACATTTCCCCAGCGATCTTGGAAACACAGAGCATGCCTTGTTGATCATGTTACAGAGGGGAAAATAAATTCCAACACAGTAATGATGCTGGTGGATTAATAACTCAGATTTACTTTGGAAAAGAAACATCCGCTAGGAAACATTCAGATCGGATTACAAGGCCCCTATTGAATAAACCTGAAAAACACACAGCTGTAATATTAAATTCAGTAGGTGCTTTGAAAAAAAAAACGGGCAGAAAACCTGGCAAAAAAGGCTTTGATATAGCAAAAACACACCGCAGGGGCTAGCCCACGTCTGAGCGGTGTCATTCCCCTTCCCCCGAACCCCTCCCCTCTGTCTCCAAAAAATAAATTCAGCCACAGCTCTTGGAGGTAGGCAGCTCTGCTCCCTGGCCTCCAGGATTTGGGGCTTTGATGTAACCTGAACTCTTCCCCCACCCAGGGCTTCCACTGCCCCACCGACCAGCCCTACTAGCCCTCCCCGGCCCAGGACGCTCCGCAGGGACTGACCTTCGTGGTGGAAGCTCCTCACGGTGTTGGCCCTACTGGCGGGGCGCTCAGGATACTCCAGACCCATGCTATGGATCTGCTCTTCCTCCTCCTCCTCCCCAGACTGGAGCCGGTAAAGATCCCGCATGTAATCTGGGATGACGGCGCTCTTGCTAGGCTGCGGGCGGCGGCGCAGCCCGAACATCTGCAGAAGTGTAGCCTCGAAGTCCCGCAGGAGCTCATGGCTCTGCCCTGAGCGGCGTCCTCCCGCGTGGCCCTGAATCTCGGCGACTTTTTTCTTCCCCGTCTCAGGTATCAAACTAGCATGGCTCGAGCCTCCTAGCAGGACTTGGCATAATAAAACGACCATCAGCATTCGGTTACCAGGAATCATGGTGTCTCTGGGGAGGGGGAGGAGGTGGAAGGTTAAAGAATAAATAAACACCAATAACGAGAGAGAAATAGAGATGTCTCTGCGTATGCGTATAAGGCCAGCAGCGATGGAGGGTCAAGATGTAAAACAGGTCAGAAAGATCAAGTTTGTGTCTTCTCCCTCACACACCCCCACCAGCACCAGCTGCAGCCATGCACGGCCTGAAAGTAGGAATTGCCCTGTAATTACTTGGTCTAACTTGTTTACAGTCAAATAACCCCAAATCAGATAGCCTCCATCCTGTTAATCTTTTTTTGTCCCAACTGCTATCTGAGCCATGATCTCAGCTTGGTTTCTTCAAGGATAAACAGTTAACATTGAGGGGGTAAAAAAGGGTGGGGGAGGGAGAACTAAAATGCCATCGCTCTCCACTTCAGACCTTCAGCCTCTCTCCCTCTTCCTCCACCCTCCTTCTTCCTCCGCCCTCGGAGCCCAACTTCCACAACTTCCAGCTGGTTCGGAGCAGGAGGGTGGGCGAAGACACAGGGCGGCGAGGTCCAGAGGCTGAGACCGAGAACGTGGTCTGGGAGCTGACCGAGTGAGTGGCTTGACGGTTTATTTTACTGTGGCTGATGAGTTTGAAATGCCCAGCAAAAAGCATCTGATCGCGTCCGCTCACTCACTCTCAGGAAAGCGGGGGGGGGGGGGGGGAGTAGGAGTGGGGATGGTTCCGAGAGAGACCTCTTGTGAGTTTTGACAAGCAGCTGGGAACAAGCACGGGGGCCCTGGGCTCTCCCAGTTAAGTGAGTGTGTGAGTGTGTGAGAGAGTGTGTGTGTGTGTGTGTGTGTGTGTGTGTGTGGTTGCCCAGAAAGTACAACCCCAGGCTGCAGACCTTTCATCTCTTTAGCCCCCTCTTGCTCCGCTTTCTTGCAAGGCACACGATCTGAGAGTGCGAGTGGGAGCAAGCAGAACTTTAAACAAAACCGGTACGCTCAGAGCTCCGCGGCTGCCCGGCCAAGAAGAAAGCGACAGCGCTGCCAGAAAGCGGAGTGTGAACTCTGGAAAAAAGGTCCGACGGAAGGGACACAAGGCGAGCAGGGGTGGGGAGGGCAGAGAGAAATCCCAGGAGGGGGAAAGGAAGAGGTGTCTACTCACTGACAGAAAACAAGGCATATAATAACAGTCCATGATTCTTGACAGCCAATCTTGAACAAACTTGCTGGAAAGGCTCAGAGGAGCTGCGGCAGTGCGTTGCTCTGGATGGCACTACGGAATGGCTCCTAAAATGAATATTTGAATATAATGAGACTCTGGCGCAGTCTGGCTCTGTTTTTCTTCCAGCCCCTCTGAGTCACGTGAACGCAGAAGCCCCGCCCCGCGCACGGAGGAGCCCGCCCTTTCCGCGGCGGGCGGTGAAAGGGCCCGCGAGCCCTCCCCCCGCGGCCCCGCCCCCTCCAGGAGAGTCCAACCCCCGCGCCGGCCGCCTGAGCCGCCAGCGGTCTGGGAGGAGCTCCGCGCCGGGTTCGGCGCAGCCCCCGGCGGGTCCCCCGGCGCAGTGCGCTGAGGACGCGGTCCTCGCTTCTACCTGCGACGTTCGGTGCCGCGGGCCAGGCCCCCGCGCCAGCGGCCTAAAGCCGGAGGATCTGGGGCGCAGTATAGGGGCTGCGCCTCCAGCGCGAACACGGCTCAAATGGGGCCGGGAGCGGGGACGGCGGCGTCTCAGCAGCTCAAAGCCTCTCCAACCCAGGGGCACTTAAAAAGGAAAGCGCTGAGGGACAGACAAACACGCGCGCGCGCGCTCCCCGCCACTTCCTCCCCGGGGTCTCCGCGAGGCCAAATATTGCTCCCAGCGACAGCCAGTCACTCCTTGGCGAACGCCTGCGAGTGCTCGGACGAGCCGGGCTGGCGCTCGAGCTCCTAGCCAAAAGCTGCCGCCCCTGTCACGCACCGGGCCGGAGGGGGACGTGTTAGGCGGAGATCGGTGTGGGAAAGTGGGGAGGGAGCGGCCGCTGGGCTATTTTCTGCGCTTCCATTTCCGAGAGAATCTCCGCACCGCGTCGGCCGCGGGGTCCACTCCGAGCAAAGCAAATTCCCAAAGAAAGCGGTCCTCGAGCCATTCAAGGCGGAGGGGCGGACTCAAAAGGAGACGTCGCTGCGGAAAGGGCGCACCACAAGTTTCGGGTCTTAATGTCGCTGAGGTTTTACAACTCCCGGCCCGGCGCAGAAAGGAAATCCCACCGCGTTCCCAGGAGTCGAGAAAACCGTGAACAGCTTTCGGCCTGCGCTCGACCTCTGTGTCTGCGTCTCTCCCCTCTTTCTCCAGATTGTCTTATTTTTGAAACCACCACTCCTCCCCCCGCCACTTCCTTCCCCCACCCCCTTCCTCCTTTGCACCAGCTGCAGAGTCGCAGCAAATATTCCTTCAAGAACCTTAACCAACCCACAGCTCAAGGAATTACCGGGTTGTCCTGACTCTAACGGAAGATGCTACATGCATGGGTGGTTCTGCACGGGGGCCTTTTCAAAAACCTGCCCCGCGCGACTCTGCCTAGACCCCAGCCCGCCCCGGGGTCCCGAACCCCAGACTCCCGCTCCCAAGGCCACTGCACCCGCCCTCCCTTCCTTGAGGCTCTTTCAAGTTCCAGCCTCGGGTCGCTTCAGAGATCGAGGGCTCAGGTTGCCCGCCTCTCTCCCTCACAAACTTGGTTTTCTTCTTGAGGGCATTCGCGGGAAGCGTTTGAGGAAGAGTAAAGAATCAAACGCTTAGCCCTCCGTCCGAGCCCCGGCTGCCCGGCGCCGCCCCACACCGCCGGCCAGGGTTGGAGGCCGCGGGCGCCCCTGCGCGACGGTCGGCGCCGCGCGAGAGCCGCGCCGCTTCTTGAGCGGCTCTACGGTTTTCCCGCTCCCGCGCCACCGCCGGGACGGACTGCGAAAGGGCTGGGAGAGCGAAGAGGGGTTTTTTTCAGACGCCTGGAACCCTAAAAATGCCTCGGGGGAGGAGCTGTAGAAACGGGAAAAGCAGAGAAGAGCCAGTTCCCGCGGGGCGAAGGGCCCGTGGAAGGGGCGGGCGCCCGGGATCCCCGGACTATCCTCTGCCCCTAGGAATCTCCCCGGGCGGCGGCGGGAGCGCGCGGCGCTAAAACCGGGAGGCTGGACGGAGAGCGGGTTGTATTTCAATTTCGGATTCCGTAGGATTCATCTCTAATCACGCAATCCCCCCCCCATTTTTTTCTTTAATTAAAAAAGACAAAAGCCCAAAAGGACGTTCGTCTGCAGAACTTTTTCTTGGCAGGGGTTGGCAGGGATGCAACTCGGGGCGCTTGTCCTTTACTTCTCCACCAGAGTCTTCTCCCGACGCCGAAGTTTGCCCAGAGGTGGCCTCAGTTTACCAAGTCTATGTTTTGGGGGGTTTTAACGTCTCACAAAGCTTTCAGCCCACAAACTGCGATCCTCACAGTCCATCCACCTAAGCGGTGCCCAGGAAGCGTTTGAGGCCTCGGGCCCAGCTCCCGCGAGGAGGGGTCCGCAGGGACCCGGGAATCCCGGGACACTTGCTGGTCGGATCTGCGCTGGGAGGACCAGTATGAGCCTCCGTCCGCAGTGCGTCTCGCCAGCGACTCCCCATGGGCCACGACACCGCAGGAAGAAGCGTGCTCGGAGCGCCAGGCATCCCAACCATCGTCCCTACAGACCCTACACCAGGAAATGATAGGGGAGAGACTCCTTGGATGCTGCAAGTTCATGAAAACAGCTTGTGGATAAGGCGCGTCGTGCAGCCTCAGTTCGCGTGCTCTCAGGGGCTCCGGCGGGCTGGGGGCCGGATCGGGTGACACTCCCCTCGACGCAGCCCCTCGGGCGGCGCGCAGGCTCCGGAGGCAGCAGGACCGCGCTCCCGGCGGCAGAACCAGCCCTGGTTAGGTGTTCTTTCCTCCATCTCGCGGTCCCTCGGCCACCTCACACTGTCCGAACCTCGGAGCCGACACTCCTTTCTCTCCCGGCCCTCCTGTCCGGGGATCGCGAACGCCAGTGCCCCCGCAACGCGTTCCGCTCAAGACCTCGCAGTCTTTCCCAGCGACCCCCCAACTAAAGGCTCCTCTTCTTCCCATCTCTTCTGCCCAGAACCTACCAAAGGTGGCAATCGCCCGGGGCCGCCGGACGGAGAAAGTGGCCTGGGTAGAGGCAGTAGCAGATGTGGAAGTGTCCTTCAGCGCCAGCATCCCTACCTCTAGCACCACCGTTGGAGAAAAAATAGGCCACCTTTAGCTGTGGTCAAAGGCTGAGCCCCCCGCTGTTCCCCCCAGGGATGCTCCCCGGCCCCCTCTGCCCGGCACCCCTCGCCAGGTAGCCTTGCTCACCATAGGTCCCTGCAGTAGCGGGCTCGCCAGCAGCAGCTCCTGGGGACCTCTGAACGGCTGCAGTGAACCTGGGCAAGGGCCGAGGACTGGGGCGCTGCAGGCTCGAGACGGCGCGGACGGGAATCCCATCAGAGAGGCGAGATACTCAGCCCCGAGTAGCCGCAGCGTCTCAGGCTCCCGTCCCTCGGCTCCGATGCCACACTCACCTAGCTTCCGGGCAGGGCTCCGCTCTCCTTCCCTCCCTCCCTCCTCCTCTGCCCTCGTGCATCTTCTCCTTCCCCCCTCTTTCCCTCGCTCTTTCTTTCTTTCCTTCCTCCTCCTCGTCCCCGGCAGCCCCTCCCTTCTTCCCTCCGCCCTCGCTCGCCTCCCTTTCTGGGATGGGAGCCCCGCCCACATCCTCCCATCCAGCCGCCGGGCCTCGCGTCGCAGGCCCGGGTCCCGGAAGCCCGGGCTGCGCCTAAGTCCGCAGCTGCTGCCCGGGCCGGGACCATGCTGCCTCCAGCTCCGGGAAGCGGCCGGGGCTCACCTGGGGACCACGTGCGGAGGTACTAGAAAGCATGCACCGACTAGTCGCCGTACCTTCCAAAAATACCCATGGGAGTCTGGGCTTCCCCGAGTTTAGAGTAACTGCTGCACAAACTGATGATTAAAACACTGAGTAATCACCATTTACCCCGAGTAATTAGAGATAATGAAACACCTCTAAAATCAGGTTATGGAAAAAGGAGCTGTTGGATTGCTTTAAAGAGTGGCCTTCCATAAACTGTTAAAGGATTTCCAAACAGTGAGAAACAGGCTGTGCGCAGAACTGTGTGCTCTAAGAGGTACCTCTTTGGCTATTGAAAGGTGACTTTCCTTCCAAAACGTTGTTTTCAATGCTTCTTGTGGAAAGCCTTGGCGATGACCCTCAGGAAGATGGCCCCCCTCCCACCCCAGGCCTAACACTTTTGAGGACAGAGGTGGCATGGAGACAGGCTGGGGCCATGTTTTTACAGTTAGAAAAGCCTACTTATTATAACTCAGAAACCCTCTTAAGAACCACCACAGAGGTCATTTTTGTTGCTATTGTTGTTTATTTGTGGCTCACCTGGGAATACTTAAACTCAGCAAACTGACCTGAGGAGGAGGTAACCAACCACTAAAGCAACAACGTTTTGGCCATAGGGAGACAAGAAAAGACACCCTTTGTTCTGTTTTTAAAGGAAGAAAGGGGTGAGAAGTTGGCCCTTTCTTACAAGAAAGTGCTAGTAATCATATTAGCAGGGAGGCGGAATGTGTGCTTAAAACCTTCCCAAACAGGAGCTAATTTCACACGGTGTCTCTGACAGAGCAGTGTGGGGAGATATCAGCATCATCTCTCTGGTTTACAAACACACAGAGGGGAAGAACAGCCAGGTTAAAGGAACTTGCCCGGAGCCCTAAAGTAAATCACAGGCTCTGCTCTGGAGTTCTGAACTAATACTGCAGGGCGGGTCTGAGGGTCTCAGGCCTGAGCTCCAGGTAGATGGGGGAATGCTGGAGGATGGAGCCTTTTCTGTCCTGGTTTTCTTACCCTGGGATGGCTGCTACACTTCACTGTCCCAGCAAAACATGTAGGTCTTTACTTAAACAGGTATTGGTCCTAGGTACCTCACCTGTAAAGACTTTTACGTTTACACACCTTCAATATGTAGAAAACAGGAACTACTTCCTATGTGGAACAAGGGTTGGAATTAGATGAAATCTGGGGGGACAACTGTGAGAGCAGGGCCAAGGCATCCTGCCATCTTTTTCAAGTTAGGCCTGTGAGGTCTTTTAGCCTAATAATGCCTCAAACAACAGAAACAAGCTGTATGGCTTTGAGCATGTCCTTTAATTCCTATGGGCCTCGGTTTTCTCAGCAACAGAATGAAAGGATTAGGACAGATAGTTTCCATACCCCTTTTCAATTTGAAAATGATTTCATTTTTTAATTGAAATTCATTAAACACCTATCTTCTTCCATTTTAAATCACACCTGAGCCCACCTCTTCTAGAAGCCTCTGATTAAACAGGGCAGGGCAATACCACCACCCTAAAAGGATGACTGACAGGATACCTCCAGCTTCCAACATAATCAGAATTACATCAGTTTTTTAAAAAGATTTTATTTTATTTATTATGCAAGCATACAGGGGCAGAGCGAGAGGGAGAGGGAGTCTCAAGCAGACTCCATCTGCACTGAGCACAGAGCCCGATGCTGGGTTTGATCTCAAGACCCTGAGATCATGACCTGAGCCAAAACCAAGAGTCAGAAGCTTAACCGACTGCGCCACCCAGGCACCCCCAGAATTACATCAATTACTAATAATAATGAAACAAAATTAAAATTCCATTAAGTAGTTACCTAATGTCCATCCTGGGGCATTAGGCAGTGTGTTCCTTCAGCGCACTGCCTAGAGTAAGGGTAGATTAAATGTTCACTGAGCCCCCTAAAACAATCAGTATTGTTTTGGTCATTAACAAAATGTGCTCCTTAATATTTAAACTCAAAAACAACAGTGATATGCTGTGTTTAAAAGCAGGGCTTTATTTTATTATAATTTATTATTATTTATTTATTATAAGATAATAGGTGGTTGTTTTTTTTAATCCAAATCCTTTTGGATAATTGCTATTATCTCATTTTGCTGAAGCCTAAATAATAAAGTGGCCATTGGCCCACCCATGAGTGTGTGAAACTCATAGCCCAGGAGTTTCTAATTAAGCCACCTGACATACCTTGTTTAGACCCCGATATGAATCTTTAGATGTGTGGTGGAAGAACTCAGCTTCAGTTCTCTTTGGACAGCTGTATTTCTAGCCCACATTGTACAAACCATCTATTATCACCTCTCTTTACTCACTCCTCTTTTCCTTTATACTTCCAATCTCTCATGCCAAAGAAGAAATTACTTGCTGGTTAGAGAACTAAATCCGTCACAGCCTAGTGATCAGAGCTGGTGAGGGAAATCAGTCCCTATCTCAAGCTTACTTGTGAATCTTGGTGTTTTTATAGAATGTAATATGGCTGGACCAAATGAAGCTGTGACCTTCAGTCATTTAGATTAGGAGGAGACATCTATTGTAATTCAAGAGTTAACTATTGTTCTGCTGCTGCTACTGCTAAATGAAGGGCACTTGTTTGGGTTTTTCCTGGGAAGCATCAAGAAAGAGTAGCTGGACAGAAAGCTGTTAGGACAGACTTTCTTAAGGTATGTTCCGAGGAGCATAAGCTTCAGAACAAGGCTGGATACCGAGAAATGCAGATTTCCCAGCTCTGTCTGTCTGAGATCTACATATTTCACAAGGTTTCCTGATGATTCTGAGCACATTAAAGCTTGAGAACTACTGTTTCAAAAGTTATTTCACTTGTATTTTCAAGGCTGATAGATACCACTAAAAGGCTGATACCTAGACATTATTAAACAGGCAAGGAATTTGCTTGGTGTGTGCTTTATAAGCTGTTAAATATGGTAATTATAGTATTACTATGCCCAGAACACAACAAATAGGTCTTTGCAAATGAAAAGATTTCTAATCCTATAGGTGTAGTAGTCCTTACTTCTAGGTCCTTGATTAAGAACCACATCAAGTCATCAAACCTTCTTTGCCAGTTAAGTGTCTGTTGAAGCTCTGGAGGTATATTTTGAGCAAATCCCCAGCATCATTGCTGACTTTTGAGAAACAGTAAGATAGATAAATTGGAAATGGAATTAAAAGGGATCTCTGAAACTGGCCAGGACCATTCGTTTTATACTCTAATTTATACTTACCATTTGTTACATATTTGCTGTCTCGTCCTCACAACAACCCTCATAAAATCCTTGTTTTACAGCTGAGAATCAAATTTAGAGGAGTCATATAAGTTTCTCAAGGTCACAGAGCTAATCGGTCAGGGACCCAAAATTCAGCCCAGGTCAGTTTGCCTCCGCCTCCAAATGCCAAAAGCTAGGGCTTGCAGAGGGATGGACCCCTGTGGCCCCAGCTTCTGACTAGACAAGGCTTGTCCTGAGGGCTTTCCCAAGGCCAAGGCAGCAGCTGCGGCTCTATTCCTTACAGCACGCGGTGACAGAGAACGTTAGGGTATCTTCCCAGTACTCAGAAGACAGAACAAAATCAAGACCCAGAAGCTTACCTCCTTGGAATTCTTATTACATAGCCCACCTTAAAGCAAGACTTTCTGTGAACTTCCCCAGGTAAAAGTTGTGATCTTGAGAAAGAAGCTGCTTACCTCTGCTGGGTCTCAGTTTCCTCAGGGTAAAATGTGAGGACTGCCCAAGTTCCTCACAGGTCTTTCTCAGGCCCCAAGATGGAGAAATAATATCCACTAGCTAAAATCATGGTCAAATGGCTTAACCTCCAGAGTCTTGGTTTGCTCATTTATAATCTGGGAATAACAATTTCTATTTCATAATGTTCTCATTAGCATTAAGTGAGTTAGTATAATAAAATGGCAGGCATAAAATGTTCAGCAGATATTAGCTATTATTTTTCTTCGCAAAGGTAATGATTACATGAGCAAAGTAGGTGAAAAGTCACCCTGGCACTGAGTTTTATTTATTTATTTATTTATTCAGTGATAAACTTTTTAAAGGAAGGGGTTACAGGTCACATTTATTTTATCACCATTGGAGCTGCACACGTCTTAGGTATTGATTGGATAAAGGCTGTTTATGTGAACCAGTGAGCACGGAGTTAACATTCATTATGATTTGTCTATATAAATCTGACCCATGAACAAATCTCTGCCAAGATGACAAATAACTATCAAAGTGGACAGACATTAACTACTGAGAGCAAAGAAATACTAGACTGGATGACATATCTGAAACATTTTCCATCTCTGATTTTTCCAGTCTCTAATATCTCTGACTTTCAAGAATTTTTCTTTATAATATAGATCACTGGCTTGCTACTTTCTGGAATACAGTTCTTTTAAAAAAAATCCTTCAAAACAGACCATCAAAAAATGGACAGAGAATTCTAATCAAGATCCCAGAGAGATCAGACAGATGAAAAGACTGCTTTTATGTCTTAACATGTTTAATATGTGGATGGCAGCCAGGGCATGGATATTGAAATTCCTCCTTTTCCAAAGAGGATGGCATTGGTATTCAATGAAGGATATTTGGCTTCTCCCTGTTTTAAGCTTCCCCTGCTAAAAAGTAGTCAACTGTACCCACTTGCTTCTATGGCAGGGATGCTGCTTGGAATTAAACTATTATGAAATGTATCAAGAAGGTTAAAACTTTGGGTTATCTTCGATCTCAGCA